GTGTGACTCTGAAGAGTCTTGCCCCGTATTCAAGCAGAGTGTCCTTTTATCCCAGTAATGTCACCAACTTCCCCGCAGACGGGGACTAGAGGCCTACTGTTGGTGCCACAGCGACGGCAGATTTTGTAATGTGGACAAGTAGCCAAGAGGAAGTCGACTGGGTGTGCTTTGCAGAGGCTGTCCGACAGCTGGCAAATGGTACCAGCTCTGTTACTGGAGACCCAGGACAATCTGAACACGTGGTCGTCACAGAATGGAAAAGCTCCATGCTTGCATTGTGAGTCCCTATACGCCACCCTCGCCCCTGTGAAATTCTGTTAATGATTCCTGTCTCCGACAGATGATCTTTGCATTAATAATTCATTTCACTTTTGCAATATTTATGAATAAAACATTATAAACAAGCCCCTGACCACCAAGCGTTAGCTTCATAAGAGTCCTGTAATACAGCACAAACATCTTGTGTGTAGATCTATATTATAGGACGTTCCTCCTCAGAAACTGTCCCCTTCTTGCTAACAATTCCTACCAGGGTGCCTAGTTAGTCAACCACTATTATCACCTTTGCCAGGATTGGGAAATTTGCCCTGTGTTTGAAAACAGTCAGGGTCAGGGCAATATATGTAACCTTAACATTTGTACCCCCATAATATGCTGAAATAAATTTTTAAAAAATGGAAAAAAGAAGATTCAGGGTCAGAACCCAGGCCTTTTGATATAGTTCATGGGCTTCATCAATAAAGTATCTTTCTTCCATTTAAAAAGAGAGAGAGAGAAGAAAGAAATATAAAGTGTGCATGTGCGTACACACACACACACACACACACACACACTCTCACTCTCACACATGCTTTGAAACCAGGAGGCTAAGAGAAGCTAACCAGAATTGCTGGGAATTCAGAAACATTTGTTTTCAGCTTTTATGGTCTTGTAGTTGCTTCTGCAGCACAGAAGCCTGCTTTCAATGTTTACTGCCTTGCATGCCTTAGTAATCAAATATCTGTTAAAAAAAAAAAAAAGCTAAAGCTTTGCCTTAAGAAATGCTGAGTGAAATGAACAGATTGTTGGCACGAGGTGCCCTCTTGTTGCTGTGCAGAGAGTCATATCAGACGGAGAATGACTAATTCTTTTCATAGTCAAGCCATCAAGTCAGGCACTAATACTTAGTACATTGAGTCCAGGGGTATTTGTACTTTTGTCTTGAAACGGCTAGTCACAGGAGCACCTCTGTTGCAGGTGGTTGTCCTGTGTGCGTCCCGGCATTGCAGCAGGGCCTGTGGGAGGGAGGCATTTGCTTCTAGGGTCGGCTGTCAGTGAGCGAGTGTGCAAATGCAGTTCCCTCTCAGTTGCTGAGAGGGAACACATCCCTTCTCGTTCTGAGCGAGACGGGGGCATTGAGGAGACTCAATGTCTGATGTTAGAAAGACGACAGCTCCAAAGTGAAAAAGAAAATCCCCCGTTGCATGCTACTCCACTCCAGCTTTTCAATCACCACCTTGACACCTCTTCTACCAGAACACTTTTAGGAATCTGTCTTCTTTCTTCTGCCTCTGCCATATGCGGCCGTTTGTCATCATAAGTCTGGCTCTTGGTTCTTTTTTTTTTTTTTCCCACCTCACTGTTTCAGATGCCTCCCTTTTGCAGCCCGTTCAAAGTCATTTTTGCAAATCATTGTCCTGGTTCCACTGTCACTACTGCTCTGCCTTTTCCTTCTTCCGTTTCCTCCACAGAGCCCTTCAGTTCTGTTGCACCAAGTGCACTCAGCTTCTTTTATTCCCCTTTCACGCTCCCTTCTTCAGAACTTTTGTCTGGCTTTTCTTCTTTTTAGAAACCTGAAACCTTCCTCTTCGCCTGGGACAAACAATTATTGAATATTTTCTGAGTGCAAAGTACAGAAACACTTCTCAAATCTGACCTCTTTGAGAAGGAGGTCTGGGAGAAGTTCCATTACCCGGCTTCATCCAAGCTGCCGCCAGCACCCAGCATCCTGGAAGGGTTAGAGTTGCAGAACTCAGTGATGCCCTCCCTCGGGGCCTTGGTTTCTGCCGGAGGAGAATGTGGTTATGGTCTGTGACTCAGGCGTCACACCACGAGGCTGATTTAGCACCTGGAGTGGTCTGGTGTGTGCTGACCCAGGGTGGAATTTTATCAAATTCCATGTTAACATTGTTTATACTTAGAAAATTTCAACCGGGGACTGCTGCGTTCAGTGTGTGGCGAAGGCAAACAGCTTGGGTGGGGACCGGGAGTGAAGGGTGTTGCTGGAATTGTGCCCTACCACAGACCTAGGGATCAGAATAGAAGCTGGGATAGAGGGCAGGAGAGCCAGGAGGCACTGGCTGGTGCACACCGCAGGCGGGCGGCTCTTCCCTCCTACACTGACAGTTGTCCCTCCGGCACAGCCACCCCGCTCTGCCTTGCCACCAGATTGCCATTGCTAGCTCTGCAGAGTGTGTGAAGGAAAGATCCCATAACTTTGGAGAATCAGTATCCGTTGAGAGGTTTTACCAAGTCCCCCGTGTATATTATTGCCAGTGCTGTGGTCAGAGCTCTGGACTGCCTAGTTCCTGCTTCAGGTCCCATCCTCTTGCTTTGGTGAAACACCCTGTCCTTGGATGCCTCCTGACAGTGATGCACAACAAGGGTTATCTGTTTCTATTCATCAGGTCAGAGAGTTCGCCACCCAACAGTGGGCCCATTTGATTCTTTATGCTTTCTGAACAAGAAGAGATTTCTGCTTTTTGTATTTTCTTATCATAACCATTTATTGACTACCTACTGGATTTTAGGCAGTGGACCAACTATGAGGCCTGGCCTCTACCCTGAGGCACTGTGAACTGTGCCCACTGCCGTGTTCTGTGGTTGTCAGGAGACAACCAGGGTTAATGAGTCAACGATCATGTCACGTGAGATACAGAGTACACAGAGGCAGATCTGTTCTGTATGGCTTTTCGTATGTAGGACTTATAGGGAACCCTACTTATGGGCTTATCTGAGGAAACGAGAAACTTACCCAAAAAAGATAGCTAAAGGAATAAAAAAATATACACAAGGGTCAAATGAACAGGTCGAGGCAAGAAATGCTGTGAATTTGGATGGTCCATGAGGCCCCCCCAAACAAGAGGTAGGGTGTAAGCCGGACGTCAGTATAACAGGTGAGAGGTGAGAGCAAGGCACTGCAGGTGGGAGGAAAGGGGACAGGAGATAGGCACACAGGTATCTAGGAAGGCCGTACCAGGGCTGTCGTGGAAAGGGGGACCAGGTGGACTGATTTCTGGAATAAGGGATTTAAATGTTGATGACAGTCTGGTTTGAGACATACTGGAGCCAGAGAATGGAAGGAAGGCCTTGGATTAGAAGGTCATGTAGGCTTTATTGTCACATGTCTAGCAGGGACCAGGCAGATAACATGGGAATGTGAGTTGGGCCTGGGATGGGTGTAAGCGGCAGGGAGGGGTGGCACCTGCGGCTAACTGGACAGATCATGCCCTATGTGAAGAAATTCAGAATTCCATTTTTGCTAAAAGACTACACAGGCCAAGTTGAGTAGGTCTGCGGCCAGTCTCCAGCCCACAGCTAAACTGCCGTGCCTGGCAGTGAAGAGCCCTGTAGATCTTGAGGGCACTGATGGGTTGGGAGCAAGGTAGGAGCTGTGAAATGCAAAGCCAAGTTTTAGAAAGATGAGAGGTGGGTTGGAGAGGGAGAGATCACTCAGTTGACCACCGGGAGAGGCCCAAGGCTGTGGGCATGGTGGGCAGCTCAGATGGCCAGAGGGCAAGAACTGGCCCGGCGTGGTGGACACTGTGGAAGGTACGTCTGCCTGGTGAGTCTGTGCCAGGAGGGACAGCAGCTGGGGCGCCAGGCAGGAGGTTCAGGGGAGCGAGGAGCAGGCCAGTGGAGCCTGAGCTTGTGCACATCTGGTGGGGGGCAGAGATCAAAAAAGCAGGAAGTGGGGATCCATCCTAGGAACTAAAATCCAGAGGCAGGATCAGGCGAGGACAAGATTGGACCTAATCAAACTTTGTCACTTTGCTGAAGGACTCAGAGCTTTGACCTTTGTCATGTCCCAGGCCTTGCTTCCTTCCTCTGGCATGAACTCCCCCTTCACCACCTGAGTCCACCTGTGAAGGCCCCATCCTCACCTTCTAGCCTTCTGAGGGGGCCTGCTGCTTCCAGCCAGGAGCCTTCTGCTGTCCTGCTTCTCGCTCTCCTGTGTGCTGGACCATTAAAAATATAACCTCTGACCTTACCTCCTTTTCAAACAACTGCTCTGTGTCTCTCCTTCCCTCGTTACCAGATTTTTTTACACTTGATTATCCTTTTTTTTTTTTTTTTTGAGACAGAGTCTCGGTTTGTTGTCCAGGCTAGAGTGAGTGCCATGGCGTCAGCCTAGCTCACAGCAACCTCAAACTCCTGGGCTCGAGCGATCCTTCTGCCTCAGCCTCCCGAGTAGCTGGGACTACAGGCATGCGCCACCATGCCCGGCTAATTTTTTTATATATATATCAGTTGGCCAATTAATTTCTTTCTATTTATAGTAGAGACGGGGTCTCGCTCTTGCTCAGGCTGGTTTTGAACTCCTGACCTTGAGCAATCCGCCCGCCTCGGCCTCCCAAGAGCTAGGATTACAGGCGTGAGCCACCGCGCCCGGCCCATGTTTTTTTTTTTTTTTTTTTTTTTTTTTTTAATCATTTATTGGTTTATTTTGTCTCTACTAAACACATTAGTCATTCATCATTTAAATATCTGACTTCATTAGAAACCGTTTTAACACTTTTTCTCCCTCCTGACATAAAAATACAGTAAGTAATTTGCTTAAAAAAAAAAAAACTATGAACAAGCGATCTTGTTTCTTCTCACTTGACTAATGTCTTTCTCGGTGATAACAGTTTATAAATCAGTAAGACAGCAGGCTGAAGACTGAGATTCAAACATCTTCCACTTAAAAGTGCTGAGTTATGGAACCTGCTTTCTCCATACCTCTCTTCTCCGCTCACTGATTTAAAAACTATTAAATAGTGTTGAAGTCTGTCTGCTCTATTAGTTTAAATGACTGCCACTTACCTTTAGCATTATATTCAGAAAAATACTTAAGCCTCAAGGTCCCCAATAATTTGGAGTACTGAACTAGATAACCACCCTAAGACACTTCTGACAGAAGTAATGTATTACTTAGAAAGAGGTTTCCAAAACCTGCTGTTAGAACCTATGCATACATGGAAAACACTGATCATCAGTCATTATTCACACAGTTTTACTCTTCCGGCAGTCCTTTGCCATTGGTCAACTTTAACTAGGCCAGAGTCCAGCAGGAAAGTGCACGGTGCACCAGATTCACCATCTCTTAATTTGCTACTGTTTTCTCTTCTTTACTGAAAGGTTGTACTGAGCCAGGCTTTACCCATGACAGGCCAGCAACATGAACACTTTTATTGTGCCGTTCTTCAGGCTTTTTCTGAGTCAGCATCTTCTCTCTGGCTTCGTCATGTACAGAAGGATTCCATGGAGAAAAGCTATTTGCATAGGGGTCTTCTATTTTAGGTTGGTCAAACAAACGAGCAGTGCATGCCTTAACACTGTCAACCACTTTGCTTTTAAAAAGCTGAATGTCTTTTTCATACAGTACTGCAGCCTCTGGGTTTAGGGGGCTTGCTGTATCAATCTTGTAGAAAACTCTCCTTGCATACATTAATACTTGCCAAATATGATTATGGTTCCGCCTCCACTTTGGAAATGCTCTCTTCACATCCAGTTCACCTGACGTGGGATCAACTACCGGGTGAAAGACGGGAATATCAAACACCAAGCGTGGACAGTCGCCGTCTGGGTAGTTATCAGGGATGTAAACTGTAAACTTAAACACACCATCTTGATAAAGTCCATGCCGTATAAATATCACTCCAAACCACATTAATGCAGAGCGGTAAGAGGGCTGCACATAGACGCCTGGTAATTTCTGCTTCACAACCAAGGTAAATTCTGCAAGAAGAGAGTATTCCAGGTAGAAGGGTCCGTATGAAGCATGCGTGCCATTTGTTGACTATGCTGCTGGGGCAGGAGACATAGGCTTAGTTATGGGCAAAGCATTTTTGGGAATAGAAGGCAGCTGTTTCTTTGGCGCAGTTTGTGGAGGACTGGTTTTCACGTCCCCTGTCAATGTCTTCTCTTCACCATCAGATCGTTTGCGTACAGCGGTTGTAGACATGCTCCATAAAGGGTTCATAACTTGTACTCCAAACAAAGAAATTCAGCGGTCTGTGTCATCAAACTCTTCTGTCCTCACCATTCACTTTACCAGCCTGCCGGGCAGTGCGCCTCAGCCAGGTGCCTTCAACACGGAGCCCCCGGCTGCCGAGCGCCGCCGCAGCCGGACAGCATCTCCTGCTGCTGCGCCAGCCCGGCCCCTCTATCCTATTTTCTTAATACCTCAAACCGTAGTATGCTAGCTTCTTCCCCTACCATTCTGGTAAGACTGCTTGATTAAGCCACCGTTGTCTACCTAGTTGCTGAGTGTGGGGGTCCTCAGCCTCTCTCGTGGGATCCAAATCCCTGTTTCCAGCTGCCTGTTACACACATGCCTGGATGTCCTGCAGGCACCACAAACTTCCGCTGCCTGTGTACACCTGCTCCACCTGTTCCATTGGGTCTCTGCAGGGGATATTCTATCTGCTTTGTCTTCTGAGCTAGAAAGCCAGGGAGCACTATCTCTCACCATCTGTAAGCAATTAGTCACCAGATCTAATTAGCCACTAAATCTACTTCCATGGTGTCTCAGATCCTGCACACAAGCTATGGTCGTCTCTGTCTGGATTCCCTTCGAATCCAGAAAGCCCAGGCCTTCCTCACCACTAGCTGAGGAATTTGCCTTAAAAGCACAGTTAACTCTGCTCTTTTCTTGTCTCCTCTTGCTGGACAAATCCCAAATTCCTTGGCTGGGATTAGAAGGCCCCTTTCCCAGTACTGCCCCAACCTCCTTTTTCTAGCAGTCCCCTCCCACACAGCCCCCGCCTCTGCCCTGCCAAGTTCTCGTGTCCGACATGTTTCTAGTGACTGCTCACTGCCCCTCTCAGTTTTTTATAGCGTGGTGAACTCCTACCCATCTTTCGAGATCCAGCTCAAGAGTCTTCCTTCTGTATGGTATTTTCTCTGACTCCCCTAGGCAGGCAGAGTTAATGATCCAGTGCTTCTACAGAACACTATTTATATGCATGAGAGTATTTAACCTATTTTATTATAATTTATTTGCTAAGTGCCTATGTCTCCTACCCGACTGTGAGCTGGTCAAGGACAGGACCATGCCTGTCTGTTTTCCCTTCCACAGTGCCCGGCGCACAGTAGGGACCCCACACTCAATGAATGTTTATATAATGAACTAAAAGACCCACGCTCCAGGTGAGTCCTGGGACGGGGACTGAGGGTTGATGAAAGGTTGGTCACAAGAACAAAGGTAAGAGGGACAAGGAAGGAGAACATAGAAGAGAATTGACATTTATGAAACACCTTCAATTGTCAGGTATTTTTATATATAATTGTCTCATTTCTAATAACAACTCATTGCTAATAACAACCCTATGGAGGAAAAAAGGATTTTATTTAGTTGAGAACCATTTTGTGCCAGGTGTTTCATGTACATTCTGGTTAATTTTCATCAAAGCTCCAATAAGGCAGGTACTGTTGCTGCCATTTTATTTTATTTTATTTTTATTTCAGCATATTATGGGGGTACAGATTTTAAGGTTTCAATAAATGCCCATTTTCCCCCTCCCCCCACAAGTCTGAGTCTCCAGCATGACCATCCCCCAGATGGTGCACATCTCATTATATATGTATATACCTGCCCTCCTCCCACCTGCCCAATACCCTATTACTGTAGTACCTATGTGACCACTTAGGTGCTGTTCAGTTAATACCAATTTGCTGGTGAGTATATGTGGTGCTTGTTTTTCCATTCTTGGGAAACTTCACTTAATAGTATGGGTTCCAGCTCTAACCAGGAAAATATAAGATGTGCTATATCACCATTGTTTCTTAGAGCTGAATAGTACTCCATGGTATTCATATACCACATTTTATTAATCCATTCTTGGATTGATGGGCACTTGGGCTGTTTCCACAGCCTTGCAATTATGAATTGTGCTGCTATAAACATTCGAGTGCAGGTGTCTTTTTTGTAGAGTGTCATTGGATCTTTTGGGTAGATGCCCAGCAATGGGATTGCTGGATCAAATGGTAGATTCACTTGTGTCACTTTAAGGTATCTCCATATTGCTTTCCACAGAGGTTGAACTAGTTTGTGTTGCTGCCATTTTAAATATGAGGAGACGGCCACTCAGAGAGGTGGAAACCTGCTCCAGGTCACACCTGCAGGTGTGGGAAAGCTTGCCCCCGCGCTGTGCTCTCCTCACAGTGCTGGGACCCCAGGCCTCAGCAGGTCGCTGGGGTGGGACAGGCAGACAGACAGTGAAGCCAGTGGCTCCTCCAGACAGAGCTGGTCTGCCTGGAGCCGCTGCCTCAGCCTCAGCGCCTGTGCTGGTCAGAGCCACGGGGACTGGCTCTGGGTCACTCAGCACCCTTCTTACTGGCTCTGTGACATCGTGACATGATTTGCTTCCTGGAACCCTGGCCGCCTGTGTCCTTGTTCTCACCAGTGGTCATCTTTGTTGAGCCACAGGAGTCTGAGGAGGGCACCTCGTTAGTCTGGGACTGGAATTGACTTTTGTGAGTGACCCTAAGGCATGAAAGGAGATTTCTTTGGTGGGGTTGGGACCAGAGGTCCAGGGATCTCCAGAGTCCCTGGTGATAATTAGTCTTTAACTCGTAACTCACTGGGGAAGGAGTTATGACAGGCCTGCTACATAATTTGCAGGTCCCTTGTTCAAAAGGCAGGGAAAAGTACCACTGAAGGTACTATAATAAAACATGAAGCTCTTTCCTATCTTTGACCCATCTCCTCTGCTCACCCTCATGCTCCCTTGGCTCCCTTACAAAAAACAAGTTCAAAGATAAGATTATTAAGAACTTCAAGACAGCAAAGCTTTAAACCAAGCACAAGCCCTTCTGAGCCCTGACCCTGAGTGACCACAGAGGGCCACACGCCCTAGAGGCAGGCACTGGCTGCTGGGTTCAGCCTGTTGGCTTTAACTATCCCAGGACCAGCCTGGCAGTTTGGGAGACTCAGGTCTCATTCAATTAGCTCCCCCAGGACTATGAGACATACTGTGTGTTGTCACATGAATAATCTCTTTGATTGTGAGAAGTATTTTCTTAGAAGCTTCCTTGTCTTCTCTAGAGCTAGTATCTTTTTCCTTATCACTAACCTTGGGCACTGACAGGAGGTACCCTGGGTACTTTGTGGCGGAGACTTCCTTCAAGTTATCTTAGCGACTTCTGAATCCCAGAGGCTCCCCTTAGGGTTTGTACATTCCTGAGCTTTCAGAACTGGACTTGCCAGTCCGTCCCTGCTCTGTATCTGCCTGCCTATCTGGGTCCGAGGCAAGGGTTATGATGTAAGTGTTGTATCCAGAACAGCCCCTCTCATGGCTGACTTCACTCAAGAACCCCACAGATGGGCCTGAGACCAACAGTCAGGACTTTTCATGCAACTTGAGTAACCCCTCCCTTGGACAGTCACTATGTCCAGGCTCCTTGGTCCTAGGGCTTCTCATAGTTAGGCCTAATGTTCCATCAAAGGCTCTGTCCTCCAGAGACATTGTACTGAGTTTATTTCTGAAGGTCCAGATGCCGCAAACATGTAGCAAAGTTCGTAGGATCTGAGTGACAGCTTGGATGTCCCACTGTGACTCCAGACACACATGACAACCCTGTGACTGCTGTCTCAGAGTGGAGCTCTAGGTATTCTTCTGGAACTGGGGGAGGACACTGAGGAGGCCGACGTGACACAGAGGACTCAAGTTGCTCTGCAGGCTCTAACTGAATCTGCGTGCAGCTTAGAACTAAAACAGTTGCCTGGAACGGACCCTCAGAAGGCCATGTAGGAGCTCCTACAAGAGGTTAATGCTAATTTATGGGGTGATAACTGCACTCTTCTCCATTTCTTTTAACTTGGAAAGGAAATATTTTTCCTCTGCTTTAAGGCAGCGTGCAGTTCAGGAAGGATAGGATCTGTCTGAGCTTGGAGAATCTTCAGGCTTCCTGATTCTTCTGTACTGGTCTCTGCATAGTGAGGGACCACACAGGGCCTCCTGACTCAGGAAGTCTCCCAGAATGTTCCCAGAGGGACCGTGCCAAGAGCCAACCACTGGACTCTGGACTTCTGTCATCTGGGTGGGAGAGTGGCCAGCCTCAGGGCTCAGCAGAGACAGTCTGGGAGTTCTTATGGTGAAGGCTTTCCTGGGTTCCCTTAAGCTCAGGAACAAGATAACATAGGAGAGTTCACTGCTGGATTGGGGAGCCAGGCCCAGGCCTACCCCAGGCATAAAAGGATGGCTGGGTTCAGCCTGGGGAATCTAGTAATTGTGGAGTGCAGAGGCCGTGGCCATCAGGATGTGGCAGGGAGGATGGGGTTTCTCAACTGAGGAGTTCACTGAGACCTGACTCTGCAGCACCTACTGAGCCCCTAGGGCTAGACCCTGGGGGCATGGGGACTTACAGGCAGCTCAAGGGACCTCACAAGAGAGTGGCCATCTTGCACCATTTAGAGACGGGCTCAGCTATGTCCTGGAGGGCCAGAGAGCACAGACAAGCCAGGGCCGTGGGGCTCATCAGCTAGAGGCAGCCTTGGATAACAGAGAAGAGGTCAGACTAGGGGTAAAGGGCTCTGTAACAGAGCCTCATTTTCTTAAGGTCCCTTAAAGACTTACTGGACACACTAATATATATCCCTTGTTTATCAGTGGGGGTAGTGGGCGAGACCGTCCTTTATAAGGTGAGTGTGAGGATTGGATCACAGAATTCATTTCCCCTGGCATCTCTGGACTCCTGGTGAGTTTCCTAGAGAGCTCTCTGGGCTTCTCACAGGGTGGGGAAATGGATGCGGGGAGATCTGGGGGCCCCTTGGGGGAGCTTCTCTGACAGTCCAGCCCAGGGTCACACAGTGATGGCAGACCTGCGTTTGAGGTTAAGGACGCAGTGCAGGTGGAGGCTGACCACATCCAAATGGACAGCACCCTCCCTCCCAGCAGCTGCTGTCTGAGTCTGCGGCGGGTGGCAGGCTGGGCTGCCTGGCAGGCTGTGGCCGGGCTTGTCGGGTGATTCAGTGGGGAAAAGGAACTGGCTGGGTCTGGGCAGACTCGCAAAGGCCTGTGCCTGCTGTTTAAGGTGGTGTTGAGGGAGTGCCGCAGACTGACCAATGTAAA